AAATGTTAATTTGTGAAGTTAACATAAATTTAACACGTGAAAAGATTAAAAAAATAATAACATATCAGTATTATGTTAATTTTACATTGAAGTAATAATCAAAACGTCGTAACACAAGAAAAGTTCTACATTTTGACGCACGATTTTTTACTGTGTATGTATATGTATATATAATATAATATATGTAATAAACACTACTAATATTTTTTTCATATATTGTGGTGACAGATCATAGTTTTAAAGCATTTTTCGCGTGCGACTATTTTTTTTACGAATTTCGCGCACAAGCTTCGTGGATTATTATTACAACTGCACATCGTCGCGATATTAGCGCTTATTATTATCGCGCACGGCGTGATTAAAGCGTTACGATAAGATAAAGCAACCGCGCGGGTTTGCACACAGAATTTATCCATCAATTTTCTTCGATTATCGGACGGTAATGTCTATAAATGTGAGATCACGCACCGCAAAAAAAATCAACAAAACATCATTTTCATAATAAAATATCAATAACAGTTAAATGTACTCTCTTTTTCTTGTAGAACAATTTTGATAACGCTCAAGCAGTAATCCACGACAATCTGCATAATCCTCGGCGTGTTGTTTTCGTCGTATTGCGTAAGCTACTTTAACCGTGGAATCTCGCGACAATAATGCGTTAACACAGAATATCGCAATATTCGGCTTCACAGAAATTGAATTTATTCAGTTTATACATTGATTATATTCCGGAATAAATATTTACCAATCTTATTTTGCTCCGCGGGAAAAAAAAACTTATTTTTCCTTTCAAGAGAGAATATTCAGAGAATTGTAAATTTTGTTTTTTATCGACATTCGGGACATCCTGCAGAATATTTAGATGTTTATTTGATGAAACTTCTTCTCTCCCTTTTTTCACGAGGCTTCATAAACAGATACTATTCCTTAACGGTGAAGAGGACCCTGTTAGTCCGAGAAATTGCGTCCATTTGGTGCTTTTTTATTTTACAGCGCCGCCTTATATTGCATAATATAATTTTCATTCGAATCAAAGGAAATATATCTCCGGAGAAAAGATGAGAGAGAACTGGAGCAAGTGCAACGGGGGAGGGAGGGAAGAGGTCGGTATAATATCGCGATTCTCGCATTGTACCGTCGCGTTCTCGAAACGCAAGTTCTCCGGAGAATCGACATTCCTGTGTATCCCAGAGAGCGTCTCGACTGCGGTGCACGACCCCGATGCGGGTCATATGACGTAATTAGGGATACAGAAACAATGCACGCCTTTGCCACGGCCGTTCTATATTAATGCGGCTTAATCTCCGTTTCCAATAATTGCTCTCGGACCGAATATTATATTGCCTTATATAAAGCGTCGCGTTCGAACTAATGCCAGTCCGGCATGAATTTAACCCGCGTGTCCGCTCAGTTTTGTTTTATAATATATCTCTCATGTTTTAGTTAATATGACCGCCGCGCGCGTATGATTAATTTAATAGTTCATTTCAATCGGTAGCGGTAAATAATGCGACGCTACGATTGCAGATCTTTTAAATTTCGTTCGAATGAATCGCTGATTTGAAAAAGAAGAAAGGTCATTTTTCCGACAAGAGTAACCGAGAAGTTAACGGAGAAATCATCCTCGCTTGTTTGATATTTACGTTATTGTTATATTTTGTATTCATTAAATAAAACATTCTCAATAAAAATATAGTTTTTTTTCCGAAAACAATAATATATTTACAAGAATCATATTTACTCTTCTGTTACCCTCAAGGAATGCACGAAATTTTAAAGAGCGCGAAATACACGCGCATCATTCATCTCGCTCAATGTTTCGTTCTCGAGACTAAAAACAATCGTTCGCGTCGTTTCGAATAATTGCACATCGGCAATGACTGGCGACAATAACAGAATCAATAGCAAGTCGCGTTTCAATAAATTAACGGTAAAACACTTCATTTCCGCCACTTTTGCGCCGCGCACATCCGCGTTTTATATTAAAACAAACGCGTAATGTTGCAGATATTTACAGCGAGACGCCCGGTTTCCCGAGTAATTCCTCCTAATTGCCAGGGCGGCTCGCGGCCTCGGATTATGAAATGTACGTGGTGCGTGGTAGAATAGTTAAATGCCACACACACGCGAGAATAAAAGTTCCCATCCCGTGTACTTAGATTTATCGTTTTTATAAGGCGATCCATTAGATCGCACGCGAGCCCATCGCAATGTATATTCCCGCGATAAATATTTCAATCAAACCAGACGACAATAGCGATCTCTTTCCTCCAAAACGGAAGAGATCTTCTTTTTTTTTTTTTATAAAGAAATCTCCCGTCCTCCTGAGAAGAAGAAAACAAGAGAAAACTCGAAGCAACAAGGCATTATTATGCGTCGATAAAAAGTTTGAGAAGAGGAAAGGAAAAAATCGAGTTTGCGAATGTTTCATTTCTGTAAAAATCTCTTTTAAACAGTATGAAGTCTCTGTATATCAAAAACGAAGTCAGAAACAATGAACTAAGAGGGAGCGTACCCTCGTCAACGTGAATTAAAGTAAAAGGGCGAAATGGTGCAGTGGGACGCGCGCGGTATTAAAGAGGCTAGGGGTGTCGGGTGGGGGATGATTAATCGTCGAGCAATCTCTCCACGTGTTCGTAAAAAAAAAAAAAAAAAAAAATAAATAAATAAAAGAAAGAAAACATGCGTAGGCGGACGCGAGAACAACTGACAATGTGACATGTTTGCGAAATGTATCGCACAATCTTGGCTCAGGTGTTTAATTCTTCGATTTGCCCGGTGTGTGACACTTGTGTGTGCGTACGGACATAAATTTGTAAACGCGACGAAAACCGTGGGTGCTGTTCCATTTCGAGGAAACAGTTTTTTTTTTTTTTTTTGTCATTAAAAACACGACAACTCGATTTTACGTAAAGCCACACGTTGCAATTCAAATCTGAATCTTTCTTCGGATTTATTTTAAGCGGAGCAGAAGTTTTTTGTTTTGATATGCAACGACAAAATAAACAGTTATAAAATTTTATCACTGTTTCCGTTCGATTATTTATTGCCTTACTTACTATAAAGAGTCTAACAAAATACGTATAAATAAAAGTCGTTATTTGTTCGAGTGAGAAAATATTGATCAACAAGTTTTAAATTACAGCAAATCCGACTTTTGAAAGAAGTTTATGTCAGCAGAAATTTTTTAGTTTTGCATTCAACGAACGTCGATAAATAGTATTTATGAATAAGAAAACGTTCATGTGTAAACGTTCGTGAATTTCATCACTCACACAATTAGCATTGTTCTGAGCATGAGTCTGAGATTGTATACACCGCATGAATGTCAAACGAAGAGGTTACATGTGCGATCAGACATCTTAATGACGTCTAAATCATCAACATTGACGAAGACGATCTGTGTATCCGCGACAACACAAAAAAAAGATCACATCATATATAAGCTATGTATCTCACTGTTCGTTAACAACATGATCAAAAACATTGTTTCACGTATTCACATGTGTAAACGGGATCCGATGTCTCGATGTGAACGTTGTTCCAATATTTTTCCACATATAAATACACACACAATATAAACAAGATAATCAGACGTGATATAAATAACATCCCACGACATACATAAATACCCCAGTAAACATCAACTTGGTGTGTCCTGCCTGCAGAAAAAAAAAAAAAAAAAAAAAGAGAGATTGCACACACAAAACGAATCGCGTGCAATGTATACGTGTGTAGTACATAATCAAAACATTTTGACAAGCATCAGCAGCATCGCACGTATCCTCCTCCGTGAATGCACGAGGAAAGAGATTACATCGCGCGGAATCTCTCAATAGAGCGCTCCAATATGAATGCCACTCGCGTAGCTATGTATATACGGACACGGTAGGAGAGAGGTTACGTACCGTGAAATCTCAATGTGTGCAATCAACAGTGACAGGCAATGGACGCCGCGCGCTCTCGCCGTGTTCGTAAATACATAAGGCAGATTATTGCGCCGTCCTGTCTCCTATTGTGCACAAATCGGCGTTGATAGCGCCGCGAGTATCCACAGGTAATACACGCACACACATTGTACACACGAAAGGTAGAAGAGGTTAACACCTTGAGAGAGAGAGAGAGAGAGAGAGAGAAAGATGGAGAGAGAGAGAGAGAAAGAGAGGTTGGCGCTCGTGCCAAAACTGGAGAAGCGCGGCGCGGATGCGCGCGGTCGCGTGACCGCGAAACGTTGGAAAATGTGCGTGTACATACTCGAGAGATAAAAGAGAGAGAGAGAGAAAGAGAGAGAGAGAGAGAGGAGGAAGAGAGAAGGAGAGCAGTATATAAAATACTTACGGTGTGACTACCATAGGACCTAGGAAGGGTGGTATTGCCGCTGGAGGAAGGGGTGGACACGATGGTGGCGGGCCGCTGCTGCTGTGCTGCTGTCTCCGCGCGACGAAGACGATGCGTAGACATCAGGCGGCACGGAACGCACCTCGTCGACTATGCCGCTTGCCGTCGTAGACACAGGTACTACCGTGCCGCACGCACCACGTACACGCGCCGTCATCCGGCGATGGTGGTTTCGGGCCGGGTGGCGCGGAGAAAGAGCGGAAACACGAAAAAACCAACCAAGAACTCTCCCTTCGTATTTCTCTCGCGCACTTGTATGACGACCGGCGAGAGGGCGGGTTGGCGACGACGAAGCAACCCGCGCGAATAATATCACCACGCACCAAAACACACTCGTCGCCGGAGATGATCCTTTCGACGTCAAAACAAAAAAAAAAAACTCCGGGAAGCGCACCAGGAAGCGTGTTCCGGCGGCGACGGTAGCGGCGCGACGTCGGCGGTTTAATATGGCCGTCCGTCGGCTGACACGGAGGCTCGGATCGCGCGTAAAAGCGAACGGCAGCAGCAGCGGTGGCGGTGATGGTCGCGGCTACGACCGTTGCTCGTCGTTGTTGCTGGTGCTGCGACAGCGAGATGGCACGCGACGGCTACGCACAATGCTGGCAGCCTCCTCGTAGCTCGACGCGTACGACGCGCACGCATTTGTTTCACTCGCGGAGAAACTACCACGCACCCACCACCCACGATTCACGACGGCTTAGCTGAAAGCTTAGCGCGATGAGACACTCAACGTTCGCGTATCTCTCGCTCTCTTACTCACTCTCTCTCTCTCTCTCCCTCTCGCCGGATTTTTTACACGCGTTAGCGGTCAGGTTGATGTCTATTCGCCTGCTCCACTCTTTCTTCTCTCTCACACGTTTTATGTTCTTCTCATCAGCGAATCTCTCCTCTCTCTCTCTCTCTTTCTCCTTCCCACGCAAATGTGTGTACTTTGCGTTTTCGTGCACGACAGACACGTTTATACTTCGAGGGGGTAAGCGCTCGTTCTGTATTTTTTTTTTTTTTTTTTTTTATCTCTAACAGGTTGTCCGTCTCCTTTCCGTCAGGTCTCTTTTCCCTCGCTCCCGCATTCAGACCCGTATTCTCAACTGACGGGCATCGAGAGAGAGAGTACAAGCGTGCAGTCACACAGTTCTGTCGCACTTGACGGATCCACGGGCACCACCTTCGGCTCTCTCGTTCGTCCGTACGTCGCCCGCGACGACGACACTCGGCTTCAACGACGACACGGTCCACACGGCGCACGCGAACGCACGCACGCACGCACGGTTATCTTCACGCTGCGCGAGGACGTGACGCGACCTCGGAGCAAACGACGATAACGTCAACATCACCACCGTACGCTTTCGTGGCGGCCATCTTTTTCGGGAATACAGTGGCGATACGCGAATCGCGGAACGGGAAACGCACGCGCGTAGATGGGTGTATGTTGCGCGAGGGCGCTGCGCGAACATGGCCGGCGTGCGTCCGGAGAAGACACGACACGCACGCACGGGAGTGCGCGCATCCGCGTGAGCGCCAAGGCGATTTTATGTTTAAAAATACATTTGTCTCTTAATGTCTTCGAGTATGAAAACAAAATTACTCGCTGTTAATTTGTGATGTTCTACTTTTACGCACGAGTTTGTGCTTGTATTTTATTACACAACAAGTTTATTTTTTTATCTTAAGAAAATAAAATATTTACCGTTACTGTTATTTTCCTGCTCCCTTTACGTTTGCAAAAGTTTTTTTTATATCGCGCGGATTTGTAAAATGTAAAATGCAAAATTGCGTGTCATGTATAAAAAGATGACGAATATCCTTGAAGCGTCTCTGGACATTAGCGATACGGTGATATACACATACACGTACACGCGCGACACTGTGTCCGTCCACGACTGTCACGTACGCAAAGCAAAGCCGTGTAAGCACGCGATACCGGCTGGGATACGTTCCAAAATCCTACCTTGGTTACCAAAACGCTATATTTTGCGTCACGTGTACTATAGTTTTCGGTTACCGAGGTAAGATTTTGGAACGCACCCCTGGCAGTGGAGGGGAGTAAAGCCGTGTATACATACGCACACAGGTGCCGGCGGCCATGTCGGTCCTGTAGCTTGAACAAAGAGGAACACGGAACACTGTTTCTCGTTCCGCTCGTTCAACGGGGAATTACGGCGCTGCGTTCGTTCATTTCGACATTTTCTGACCAATGGCAACGCGAGAATTACGTCAGGAAAATGCATGTTTACCAATAGACGTTCCCACTTCATCCTGTCCCGTGATTTGTACCCTCTTCTTTTTAGTGGCGACATCTTTACCTTACGTGCTGCATTATTTCAAATTTCGCGCACGCGCCGTGTACGATCACTTCTGTGGTCCGATGTTACCCGCCAATAGCGAAAAGAGGGTTATGCGTATTTGTTGTTCGTCAAAGATAAGCAAAGAGTGGCAGAGAAAAGTTTAAGAGTGAATATGCCATTGTGTTCGTTAGCCAATTAAGTTATTATAACAGTTATAAACTTTTATAATACTCAAAAGATTATTTAAAAAAAAAAACTAACTTTGGTTACGAACGCGTGTAGTTCATGTAAGAGAACTGTAAACACAATTTTCTTTCTATATCAAATCAATATAAGAATATAAATAAGAACGTGCAACTTTTTCCTGTATATTACCAAAAAAAAAAAAAACATGGAAGTGGCTCCAATGGGCAACTTGCCGTAAGTAAAGTTTTGTTATATTTTTAAGTTTATATTTTTTTACACTTATGTGATCAAAGTTTAATACTCATGTTTTATGAACTGATAGAAAAGTTTATTGATTGCACCAATTGTCATTGATGTACTTTGTCATCATTATTTGTTAATATTACTTTTCTATTTGATAATCTGTGTAAATAATCTTGTTAAACAAATATATTGAACCAGTTTTGTAAAATTAAATTTTGTAAATAGTTGCAGCAAGGATTTATGGTCTATAATATCTGCCACAACATGTTGTTGCGCCAAAGAAACTGTAGAAGATGAGATAAAAAATGGAACTGTATTACTCAAAGAAGGTCTTCAGTTTTTTAAGCCTTACACAGATGCATCATTGCAAAATATTGCTAAGAAGGACTCACCTCCTCTTCAACAGATATATGATTTGATCAGTAAACTTGCTCCACTTCTTGTAAGTACATATGTGTAAAAAACTTTTATAGAGTTTATACATTCAAGTTATAATGGTTTTAAAAAAGAAAAAAAATGATATTTGCAATATATTTTTTTATTTTATTCCAGAACTTGGATGCTACAATTACTTGGAATTTGGTGTGTAATTTTGTATCCTACGAATACAGAAATTGCGCTGAAACTTTTGCATCACAGCTTTGTGATCATACTTCTATAAAAGCGTTAATCGATGATATTTGGAACTTTTATTATTCTGAGAGAATATTTTTGATAAAATGTCTCAAGCTCATGATTGAATATAAAGACGACAAGAAACATCCACATCACAAGCAATTCACAAAATTTTTCAATGAAGTTTTGATGGGAAATCTGCTTGAGTCTATACGAAAGCAAATAGAAGCACTGAAGTTTGTAAATCCACCTACGCGATCACAATTTTGTACAGAGGAACATTTGCACAGATTGTACAATAGTACTTTGGTAGAAATACGCGAGTTGCTTCACATACTGACCATGATCGTGTACGATGTACATATTGCTGATGACAAGTTTGTCCAATTCTACGGAAGCATTGCGGTATGTTTTGGAAAAGATACGCTTTAAAAATTCTGTCGCGAAGATTTTGCTTAATGTACGTAAAACTTTTAGGGCGAACCTAGACGATTAGCAAGTACAAAAAGTCATGAAGACAAGGAAGCTATTACTAAAAAAATTGAAGAGATACAATACAGCCAAGTGGCATTGCTACTTGTAGCATTAGACGTGAATAAACAGTAAGTTCATATTGTTTTGCGTTAACGAAAAAACTTTTAATAATTTTTTAAATCATTGTGTCTTTGTGTTAATGTTTTAGCACTGCTATGGAAGATTGGATAAGTGGCGTCAGAAGCAATATGCAGGAAATCTTTGAACAGAAGTGCGTTCGTGAGAGTTTACCGCAAGATGGGCCGTTACTTTTGTCGTGGATGTTAGCAAATTACGCAATTGATCCGGACAACGTAGATACGTTAAACCGGTTTAAGCCGTTCGGAGTCAAAGCTATACAGCTCGACGTATTTCACTATTTGCGAGATTTAATCAACTGCGAAATGTTTCAAGAAGAAACTCACTACGCCGCGGTCGTGCAAAGAACCGTTTACAATCTCCTCGTTCTGTTGTGCGAATTTGTTGATCAGGATCGATTGAGCGCTTTTAACGGTATTTTCGACGCTATGGCTGCTACAGTCAAGTTTCCGGAATGCGCGGCTAGATTTTGGAACGAGCGAGATGAAGGTCTATGGCAGATTTTTGCGGTTGCCGTACAATTGTATCCCTACAAGTTCGAGCCTTTAACCAGTATAGCTATTGCTCTAGCATCCGCGAGCGTTGCGAGTGCTAAGAAGGTAAGAACGAAATATTATCATTATTTTATCACTACTTTGTGTTTATTACACGATATTCGTCATTTTCTGTACAGATTGCCTTGGAGCTGGACAATCTACCGTCGTTAACTTTAGAAATTCCTCGTCAAATGGATCACAGCAAGTCGTTTCAACCGTACGAAGCGGAATGTACAATACAAAAGAATTCGTTTATTATATCCTGCCATTGTGCGCGCGAGAATATCGTCGTATTGTCGAACGAACGAGAAGTGATCTTGTTTCATGTAAGAGCAAGTTACTGGGATGCTTTGCATTATAAAATAGAACAGTTATTTTCGGAGGCGAACAGAGGAATTGACAACGTCTTGACTCCTGAGCACGTTTATCAGGGTCTGCAATTGGTGAATGCGTTGTTGGCCAAAGACATCGATATACCATCGAGTATGGTCGCTCCTACGGAATTGAGTTTCGAAATCGTTAATCGATTTTCATACTTGGCAGCGTTACGACCACCGCCGACTACGTACAGATGCGTTGTCGTGTGCATTAGCATCTCGTCAAAATTGGTCCTGAGATATCCCGAGGAGATTCTCTCGCGAATGAGATCGAGTGTTTATCCGAAGTTCAACAAGTGGTATCAGGAGCCCATGGATTACGCAAAAATAATCTCCTTCGAGGGTGGTCACATCGCATCATGGATTTTAGAGATAGAAAGCATCGAGCACACTTATCCTGTTCTGCGCGCGTTTTTGGACACTTTGTACAATTATCTGATCACCAAGCACAGCGTCGAAGCTATGTACGCTATCGAAATACCGGGTATGGTGTATCTGCTGTACACCATATTACCGGGATTGGAGTCGTGGTATTTCAAGTCGAGCGCGGAAAGAATCGATTTACGACTGAAGACTATGTTTTGCATCCATCGAGCTCTTGATTCGAGTTTGCCTAAGGACGATTTTCGCAATCAGTTGCAGTGTGTAGTGGTATACTGTCTGTTATACTTGGAGCCGCGTCACGCGCTACTGAAATTGCTTCGAACGGGCGAGCGTACATTGCACAATCAAATGATCACGGAGACCGATTGGATTAGTGGAAAGGGATTCAAGATGGCTAAGAGCGTAGAACTGGCTCTCTCGATAGTCAATCGATTGTTGATGTTCAGAAAATCTTTGGATCTGAAATCTAAAGTAGACAGATCGCCACTCGAGATTGCTCTGTATTCCTCTCCAAGATCACCCAACGGACTTTTAATAGTGCCGACCATCGTTAATTATCTGTACGTCTGGTTTAGCCCTTCGCTGCAAAAGATGGCGGTCAGATTGTTGAAGAAATTCGCGGAAGAGTTTTCCATGTCATTGCTCGTCTGCATGGGAATGGATGGCACCTCCATACGAGAAACTTTCGCGTATCGATTGACGCTGCCGACGTGTGCGCTCGAAGTAAAGGTCGCTATTCTAGAACTGGTAGCTGTTTGTCTGGAGAAACAGCCCGGTCTAACGGAAGCTCTCTTCAATATTATGCATCAAGCGGAAAGCAAAAGAATTTTCCCACGTCCGGCCGATGAGTTTCTTACGGAAGGCTGCCGGCAATTTTTGGACTCGTATTTGGAACGAATGTACAAGGAGGACGACATTGTTTGCGATCAATTGTATGAGAGCACGATGACGGTGCTGCGCGCCATGTGGTATTACAAAAACGAAATTCTCGTCAATTTCTTTCGGAAGCGAGAGAATTTCTGGAGTCACCTTTTCGCGCCGCTTTTCAAGCCTTTGGTGCGAGGCACAAAAGGTTATTCTCAATTGTTGGATGTAATTACGTTGGAACTGTACAAGAGTCCATTGCTAGAGACTAATTTCTCGAAAAATTTGAGAGAGCTCTTGGACAAGTCTAAAGACTATTGGAAAAAACTGGCTGTCTACGTCCTCGTTGTAAACGGAGAAGGCGAAAACAACAAGGAAGAACATTCGAAACAGGACAAGTCTATCGCGGAACCGTTATACGAGCTTAATTTGGAATCTTGGTACCACTTTATTGTTATACTCACTGATGATCGAACGGCCAAAAATTATTCGATTAACGTAACCCAAGCGCAGTTTCTTACTCAATTGGCCTTGGATTCTCTGTTGGATCGATTGAAACAGCTTCAGCAACAACCGGATTCCACTAAATGTTCAAACATCGGTAAGATTCCGATGTTGCTCGCCTCTTTGTCTCTAAGATGTATCACTTCTTGGAAACAAATGTGCGTGGGCGACTCGAGAATATTCAAAGCCAGACTGTCGCAACTCACTCAAGAAATAGCGTCCTTTATCTCTTCTTATCACGCTGGCAAGTCCTTACGAGAAACGCTGATCTCGTTGCTGCTCGGATGCCTGCAACTGGTGAAAAGTACAGTGGCCGAGGATTCAGCGAGTCTCGAATATCTCTTAGCGCACTCTTGCGTAATCGCAATCTACGAGTTGGAGAAATTGAAGGAAGCGTTTCGTCGTCACCATGAAATCTCCGTCGATGTCAAGACCGATCAAAAGGATACGCAAAAGAAGACAGAGCGCTTCTACAATGTGGAAACGCTTCGTGGTATACGGGAAAGTTTACCGGCGACGTTAGCCATTTGTATGGTGACGCAGTTGTTACGATCGTATCTCGAGCGGAATGCAAGCGTGAAACATCGTTTGAGAATCAGTTGCATGCAACTTCGTCAAATGATACCCGAGCTTATAGCGTGCATTGGTTCCACGTTGCAGAAATATCCGTACTTGAAATTCAGTACGGCGGCTATGAGTTTATTGGGTGTTATATCTCGTTCGCCGTATTGTCCGCATCTTTTTAATTATCACGACATCGCGAAACTTTGGCTCAACTTAACTCCTCCGGCGGACATTCAGTACAGCATGCTCGACTCGCTGTATGAATATTCAGTGAACGGTCAGTGGCGTTGCCAGGATTGGTGGCAGTTGTACACATTGGGTTTGGAGTTTCTGATAGGTCTGGTCACCAGCGAGACACACACAGTGTACGCTCATCATGTGGAGAGCTTCTTACAGTTTCACGAACATCAGTTAATGGTCGTGTCCACATTACTGAGACATACCGCCGATTTGCTGGCTGCCGATCTGATACAATCGTTGGTTGCCCTTATACACGCCGTAGCTACGCAAACGTATATTTGGAACATGATACAGCCGAGCGTTCGCGAGACTCTCATCAAGTGCACGTACTTGGCGTATGACAGCACGGTGAATCTGTTGTTGAGGCCGCGAATACTCAAATTCATTATCGACGGTATCAGTATGGAAAGCGCCGAAGAGCTCGAATCTTGCGACAATCGATTACCCAGTGGTGAGCTGAGATTGTTGGTGAACAAACTCATCGTTATAAACACGACATGCGCGTTGAGCTTTGTTCACTTCTCGCCAAGATTGAACACCCTAATGGACACGATATATACTCAGGATTATTGGTACACACCGATGGCTGAGATGAACTTCGGACCTCCACAGATGAGCATGAGCTCCGGTCCGCAGCTCACTTACGGCACGATCATCAGCTCGACCCAGCTGTTCACTCAGGCTCTGCATTCGCGCTTGCAACCTGCCGCTTCATTGCCCGCGTCTTCGACCCCGCATTCCGGACGAGAAGACAAAACCGATTCTGCGAAGAAAGAGTGGGAACGCGCCGCGCCAGAAAATCTCAGACGCATGCACACGAGTAAAGATTTACGAAGAATTATTCACGGGGCCTCGACCAGGTCGTCGTCAAACGTAGCTGGAGAATTCTTGGGATATGTTAGTGGTCTGGACGTCACTGTACCATTACTCAGCAGTCCTAGACTTGTACGCCGACCGTATGATCCGTTGATATGCGAAAATACCATTTTGTCAAGAGCGACCGCTTTGGCAACCGGCCGACACGTTACGAAGAGCAGCGGGAGCGCATCTGCCGGTCCCGGCAACAGTAGCCCGATCATAGCGAGAAATCACAGGTTCAGCGATCCGTGGTTCGAATCCATGGATGAGAACAATACGCGACTAGCGTTGGAAATCAATCTGATCCTGACGTTATCCCAGGTATTGGAAGGAATGAAGAGTCCTAGACTCGCTTCGCGAGATCGTCAACTTATAGCACGGGAGACCGCTACGGAGCTGGGAATCTTCTTCGATTTCCTCGAACACCGCGGCACTCCCGATATCTGGCAGGTGAAAGGTTCTCTGATAGACGCGGACACAAGAAGCTCCAGGACGATTCAGGATACGAGCGATCCGATACAAGCAAGTTTACCAGCAAGACTTAAGAAAAATAGTACTATTGATAAAGCACCGGTGTGTTTGCCCGATCATGAAGATTCTATCGACGAGATTCAGACGCAAGAGAAACGACTTGAGGACAGTATCCTCACTACTGGAGCATTTAAAACAAACGTTAGCAGTGTACAGTTTTTGCCGTTAATGGGAAAGTTGCTCAAAACAGTTGTCGAATCGTTGGATTCGGCACAATTCCGATAACGATTGTGAAAAATCTAAATTTTTTTTAACCAGTTATATATATTTAGTGTACAGTATATTCATTTTAGAATGATGGAAGAATAATTCTTAACATTTTTTTCAGTATATCAATTAGTACAACTTTGCTTACAATAAATTGCAAAAAAAAAAACGAAATTTAGATATTTTTCAAGTATTGTTTCATATAATCTGATATATACATGTAATATAAATTGACTGTTTGTATACGATGTGAAAGATGGTTTTTATAAAGGTCTATGTTGCTAACCGACAATTTTATTATAACAACTATTGCGTGCAAGAGATGATTATTTGCACAATCGTATGTGAATAAAAAACAAAGCATCCAGAGCAGAAGGAGCGAAAAGGAAATGTAAAAACAACGTTTTCTTTCTAATTTAATCAATACTTTTATACCAGCACTATTTGTAAATGATTAAACATAATATAAATGTTCGGTAAATTAGAAATATATATTTCGTGGGTGTGTGAGTGTGTAAGAAATATGTTTAAATAGAATTGCTAGAGAAAAATGTGAAAATAGAAACTATATGATTTTACACAGCCAACTACTTAACGTGAAATCTTTCAAATGAGTAAAAATCGCTGTTATACACGCGCATATTTTATATCAAAATAACGATGATCGCGTTTTTATTGACTTTCGATTACTTTGATCATTTCACCATCTTCAGACTAAACTCCTGATCTTGTGATTTTTGTGACGCACGATTGTCAATGTTTGTAACACGTGCGTGTCAGAAGTTACAGAATAGATCTGCAGATTTAATTTTTTTTTCTTATTTGTATTTTTTTTTATCGAATGTTCCGCGAGATTTCGCCTTTGTTTACAAAATTATTGCCAATCCGCGCGAAGATAGATACACGTGGACAAATTAAATCATGATCAACTACACATTAATTACATAGTACAACGAGCTATCTAATTGAAGTTTACAATATCTCTATGTTTTATTTCTCTGTTGATTTACTAAATTCTCTCAAAGAAGTTTGTGAAAGATACATCTTTGAATATGGAACATTTCTACGTTCGAAAACAGAGAAGAGAAAAATAGAGAAGATAGTTACAGACTCCCCTTCCTCGCTCGTTTTCGCGTTTTTTTTTTCTTTTATATATAGTCTTACCTTTTATAACTCTCACTTACAATATAATTTATGCTCTAGTCCTTTCGCGTCGCTCTATACAATATATCGCGCACATTTGCGCTAAAGATAATTACATTACGATAAGACAGTATAAAAATATAATCCTTGATATTATATATATATACTATGTATGTATAACGAATATATATTATGCGTTACGACAATAGCGATGGCGCGAGTATCGAATTGGACACGCCACCGCGTAATGACATCCGTCGTCTTTCAGGGTGAACACCTGAAGGACGGGTTAGACGCTAAGGGGGCAAATGAGGTAAAATGTTCTCAGGTGAGGGCGTGTCGTGAGAATCGTTGCTCCTGGATGACGTTACTCGTTGGTGATAGTAGTTATTGGACGCAGTTGCGGCGGCGGTGGCGGCGGTGGAGCTTGTGCTGACTGTGTTGGTCGAACCAAGACCCGTGATCATCGCCGCTGATGTAGCAGTGGCTGTGGTAGTGTTGATTGTTATAGTCGTGATGACGGAGGAGGTAGGTTGACTTCGTGATACCAGACCACTCCAGGTCGAGTTCATGTAACCTGATTCAGACGAGGAACAATCCGTATGACGAGTCGACGATGAACAGTACGTGGACGTGGTTAAAGCGCTGGAATTGCACATTGACGAGGACGTTGTTGTCGTGAGAGGTGGTGGTGGCGGAGGCGGCGGTGGCGGCGGCGCTGCTGTCGGCCCGTTCGCATCCGCTAACGGATCGACCGCGTTCCCGTCCCAAGTTTCCGATTTGATCTCGTCGTTGTTGGTCACGCTGGCGCTGGATCTTTGACGTTTGGTATCACCGTACAGCAAACAATGAACGTTCGGCGAACTACTACGATCCCGCACTCCCTCTTGCTCCTCGAGAAATCGGTCCATATAGTCCCTGCTTGCGATTTAATGGTTCTGTCATTCACGCTTGCAGTAATTATGTTAACGAAAGCAAATATATTATAAAGTGTATCAGAGAGATGATGTAGAGAGTATTAGACTTTATAGGTTGTGATAAATGTGATTGTTAATATTTCGTGTTTTGATGTAAAGTGCAAGAAAAGACGCGATAGAAAAGATACTCACGTGATACCAGGATGTAGGGCGTATTTTTTCTTTTCTAATCGAGCTTTATATGTAAATATATCATGTCGCTCGGTTTTCTTCCACAGGTAATAAAATTGCACTAATTCTCCGACAGACCTCGTTCTCACCTGTAAAAACAAGGAAATTATAACTCACTGTTTGGGCAGAGAAATTTTTCGAAATTTCTTGATCGTTTATTCACGTGTCACGTGCCTTATTTTTGTGTATAAGATGAAAATCCTTTCCGTAAGTGCGCAATCCAGATTCGAAATTGTGGCATTCTTCTTCTGACCAAAGACTCACTGCATCCGTAGGTGGGAGCACATTCATCCGACGTCTTCGCAGTGCCTCTTCGTGATTGTAGCCGCATTGCAACAAAAGGTACAAGGCTTGCTCGTCATCTCTGACATGAGAACCAGACGGCAACGAACCACCTTTTACTGTAGGAAGTTGCGCGCGTTCTAGGAACTCTTCGGTATCCTCCTCGGATATAGGACTGGGATCCCATAGCATCTTGTCCTCATTCTCGTAAGGTAACGCATCATCGTAACGACACAGACCTTCCGGTATAGCTGCTTGGTAATCAGTGCCGACCATGATTGTCTTTTTCCAATCCTCCTCGTCCGGACTGTAATCACAATCGTCCTCTTCTTCTTCGCTTTGCGGCCTCGAGACGCTGCGCAACAATCTCGAACTGCCACCGCCCGCACTAACTATCCTATCTTCCGAACCATCTATCGCACTGCTACTTTCTTCGACAGTACTGTCCGGAATGTTAGTTTCTCCTAGATTAGCTATATCACCGCACGCATTCACACTTCCAGACGCGGGCGACTTTTTCTTTGCGCTTCCACTTTGGACACATTCCTCGGTTTCAGCTTCTTCGTCGTCATCCTCGTCATCGTGGATTTTACGTTTTCTGTTATCCCTGCCGCCTGTCCCGCTATTGCTCTTTGTTGTTGATCCCGACAACGACGTTGTTTTGTCCTTTCCCTGTACCAGCATTTCTGTGTAGAACTGTTTGAGATCTGGCTCGTTGCTGGCATCGGCCTCGTCATCGTCATCGTCGTCATCCGCATCGTTATCACCCTTGTCCGAGTAATGCTCTTCAGTCTCGGGATCGCCGCTTCCGGACGGCAGCAACATATGATCGGAACTGTTGGAATTCTCCGTCGATGGGTCACCGTATCCGTACATAGCAAGTAGCTCTTTCAGTGGCATATCACCTTCCTTGCACAAGAAGACAGAAATAGATCATTATTACATCAAGCGCAATTTCGGGACTAAACATGGAATCTCACTACAAGAACGCACTTTGAGTCCAAAGTGTTGCGGAAACTTATCATAATTTGTAATTATTTATGGGCTCGATTTTTTCATTTCTCAGGCTTGATCCTAGAATAGTCGGGATCAGAACTTTTGTTACAAAGTGATAGATGTGCCAAGAATACATACATATCGCAAATCATATACCTTTTGTAAATTGGACAACTCGTTGTGAGAATCTTCACTACCTTCTAACGCTTCTTCCTCATCCAATGTTCGTTCGTCATCAAAATCATTAATTATCATTTCAGTTGCCGGACCCATATCATAATCTCGATCTGCCCTGTAACAGACATACGTGTTACATGTTAACTTGTTAAATTCTGGAATTTTCTTTTTGTTCGCGCACGGGTCGCGCAGTTTGTTTTTACAAATGGTCGCTCGAGCTAACGTAAACACTTACATGATTCTGCAATCCCTATTCACCGAGATGGGAACATAACACACAATAATAGTACACACAAATAGTATACATGAATACGTAGACCGAAGCACTGAACTCTATCACCACAAGAACGTATGCGTGTGTGTGTGTGTGTGTTAGCAGTTCGCACAGTTTCACAGAAACGTGTGATTAAAGGTCTCAACTTGTGTATGTTATTTGACTGTACCAATGTCTTACGCAAAAGAGTGAGAGAAAACGTTTACATCAAGTACCGCAGAGTCTAACCTCAAAACTGAACATGGGAATTTCGGTATTCGCGGCAACGGTATCTCGAACGGGCTTTTTGTCACATTACGTAAAACGTAATCACCAGATCTCCCTCGGACGTCTCGTCATAATTTGTTTGGCTGCGAACACCGTGAAATTCCTTCGGCTATTGTCCCTCGTTCACAGGCAACAACAAATCCGTTCCGAAATGTCAAGAACTTTTTTTAAGGCACAATTATTCGTCGAGCAAACAAACGTGACTCGCAACAACATCGTCACGTGCGGAAATCGCATAATCGAGAGGCGAATTAACTGATGGACGCACACTCCATTTATTTTATATTCGACGTTGTTTCTCGCTCACGTTCACTCTTCGAGTTTTTTGTCCTCGGAAAATGGATGCGACACATCCGAAAGCGTCATATTCCCTCGCTCTCGCCGCAAACGAAAGTCTCGGCGCAACGACGAACGGAAGATTGTCGGACGAGAGGGTTTCCCGTCGCGAAACAGCGTGCGAATCGCGTCCGAAAACGTAACGACACTTCGATGTTCCAATAGAAAATCGCGTCTTCTAGAAATTTTCGCTAACAATGCATATTTGTTTCTAGAAAGAGTCTTCCTATTGGTCCTAGAAAGTCTCTATTTTGTTTAATCACGCTTTCAAGATCTTCCTATCTACACGATTGTCTTTTCAATGCCCAAAGGGTGTTGCGTACACGCACAAGCGAATAGCAGCAGCGTTTACGAATATTTGACAAGGCGTGTCCGTTCTGTGAATTGAGACACGCGATATTTTGCACGCGCTTTCGGAGAAGCAAGAAACAAGCGAATATAATGTTCAAACGATTCGTTTGAGTGTCGTCAATGCGTCTTCAGTTATATTACGTAGCATGAAAATCGCAGATCGAAGTTCATTCTGATTTAAATACAGGAGGAAACGCTGTTTCACATTCGTTGGAAAGGTTTTTGATTTGAGAAAAAAAGGATCAAGATGCAGCACGGAAAGAAATCTCCCAGTATGGGAACACCGTCCGTCTACTCTCATGTGACCACTCGCAGCAGCGCGAATCTCAAATCCTCGAGATCGGTCCGAAGCGTCAAGATTCCCTGGTATCAGAAACGAATACTGGCGCACGCTTATGTGTTCGATATCCAAAGGGGCGCTATGTTTACTGCCGTATTTTCCTTGGTATTTATTTATTATCAAAGATAATTTACACTGTTTTTCTCTACGTTTAACTTGTTTTTTTATTTGTAATAAAATTTTGTTTTTGTTTCAGTGCCTAGCGTTTTTCACAATATGCACTGCCATTTTTGATATCTACTGTCTCTCACAAGCCGCGCCTGGCTCTACACATTACGGATACTACATCATATCGTATGAATTTGTTTATGTGGGCAATCAGCATAGTAAGTCAAGCGACGTAATGTAGATTTGTAATTGCAAGAAGTTGTGCGAGTGTGAATGTTTATTGAAAAACATTTGTACATCATTTCTCTGTCTTTTTTTTTTTTTCAGTTCGAAATGCTCTGGTAGTATTTGCATTGTTCTCCATGCTGGGTGGAATAGTAGTTTTTGTGACTTCTATAATATTGATCCGAGCACTGCGGAAAGAATACGAGAAAAAGATGAAACTGTGGTTGTATACCTTTGCCATATTCACTATTTTCAGACTATTCGCTTTTATGTTCTTCAGCATTGTGAACGACATGATATTCGCGTACAATGTAATGATGTGTCTGTTGTGGATAATATTTGTTAGTCTTTCCGCGTATGGTTGGCTGGTTGTATATTCTTTGTACATTGAACTGTGCGATCTAACGAGATTGGAGGATCTGGCTCACTTGCGGGTATGTATATCCTGTTTGTGTTATATTACAAAAAATCAATTCAATTTGTCACACTACTTAAAGTCGTTGACACGATAGCATGAAGGACAGATGGTGTATGTACACAAATGTTCAAATTCGAAATAATTGTTCCAGATTGGTACAATGCAATCTCTGAATGCATCGACAACACAATCTATTGCCGGTTCTCGACCAACAACACCTCACAGCGCGGTATCAACAATGCCTGTTAACTGAATAACAGTATATTTAGAATAAGTTACTTATTGTATGTACATATCATTACGCACAAAGATCTTTACGAAGGCGTTGCATTTGCAATTACGACTAACTGCTTGCGACTGCTTTTTTTTATAATGGTATATAAGAATATTCGTTATGTAAGTTTTGATTTGTTATAGAAATGACATTTTATTAACGATAGATGTATCTTCAAACGTATTGTGACGTATTACGCAACGTATATAATTCCGTCCACATAAAACGAACAGTTAGGAATTTGTAATGCACAAATATTTTTATATCGCGACTCACGTAGTAATAATAATATATTCCGTCCATTTATATGTAGGTAAGATTTTCTGATAATGTCAAAAAATGTTTGTTATATGAAAAGTAATGTTATATATACATTTATAAAAGATATAAATTAATTATACAACTTTCTTCTCTTTCTGTTCTTGTGAGTGATTAGCAAGCAATAGAGAGCACTATAATTTTTAAAAATAAGTAGCTTTAATGACAATATTTTTTTTTACTTTGTTTATTTTTTTACTCTGTCAGTTATCATTTTGAAGTTTTTATTTCTCCAATAATTTATTTAGCACAACTTGTAGCGGTTACATCTCATTTGCCTCAGAATTATATTTCTGAAATGTAAATGTGGAAATTTATATCTCGCTCTGATCTCTTCCTTTTCTCTCACGTTATCACAATCTGAAAGAGATTTATGTTAAAAATAAGTAAATTTTAATAAAATGACTTTTTACGTGCACACAGCGACGTACAATTCGGTGTATTAATTGAAATTGTAACAATCGCGAGCAACTTGATGACGCGTGCTAGATGGGAATTGACGTCTCGTGGCTCGAATGTGTACTCGGTTGTACAGCTGTATGTCTGGTTGTACGAGAAAAATGTTTCGAGTCCAGAGATGCTTCGCTCATGCTGATGCGGTCATCCTCGGAATCCGTCAACCATTCTCGTCCCTCAGTGACAAGTTGTCGTTCTCCCGAAGAGTCTCCCGCTACTGTGTGACCGACCAACAAGATCGCTCTACCCAATAGAGATAACAAGAACACGCCGACTCTCGAGAAAAGGTGCTGGATTATATTAACCGCACCGGTAGCGACGTACATGGCAATGGCCAAACACATGGCTGAAGCCGCGTGGCGATAATTACCGCCATTCGTCAACACCTGAATTAAACAAAGCAATCTGCTGATAATCGACTACATTCATATTTATATGTTTTTATAAGTCGTGCTTTGTACAGTGAAGAATCATATACCTATGTGTGTTTTTTGTAATTTTTTAAAATAATAACGAGAGAAGAGAGATGACAAGCTAATTATCATTAAACAAACATCAAATATATCCTATAATCACTATAAAGTATAAAAATATTTTTGTAACCGATTGCAATAAAAAAGCTGTTATTCTTATCTCAGCCGCTTATAAAAATCTTTATTTAAAATATCTATTAAAAATATATATTTAAATCTTTTTATTTAAAACATATTTATAATTTTAATCTTTATTAAAATATATTTAAGTACGGTAGATTCTAGTGTTTTTTAAATCTTTCAAAAGAGAAAGAACTACATAAATAAGCCATGTTTATTTACGCCAAAGGACAAAAACAATGTAAAAGATAATTACAAAATGCAAAAAATTAATTTCAGCAGCTGGAAATAAAATCATTATTATCTGTCGAATTAATATGTACCGCCGTATATATACGTATATAGAACGCCGTGTATAGGAGCTTATGTAACAGTGTTGTATTATGCAACCCCGTTATAATAGTTGTGTTACAACTACGCCACTGTAGTTTTTTTGAAATCCTTGAAACACAAGCTTATGTCACAAAATACGGTGTGTCGTGTCGTGTATTTTAGACGTGAATTCGTAACTTGGATTAAGAGAAATAAAAGTAATTAAGTAATGCATTTTGCGCGCGCGCGTGCGTGTGTGTATGTGTGTGACATGCGCAATCATGTTTTATACTTATTTATTAAACATTAAAATATATAAAATTTTTACATATGAACGAAATATTTATAATTTATAATTAAATATTTCCGTTTCTTCTTCCGCTTCTTTTGTGGATACCAACCAACTTGCAAAGGGGTGCAAACACGCCCTCGCGGTGAGCGCATATGCATTATCCACCCGGTTGCGACTATTCACCGTGCTTCTAGAAAGTATCGATTTCTGCAGGCTCGACGTTCCTTGGTAGAAGATGACGACACATGCGCTTATTCATTGGCCCTGCCGACTTTGAACTTCCGTCATTGGATGGCGAGCCGGTATAAACGGTGCTTTCTCGTTGCTCCTTTCAGTTGTGTTGTTATCCACTCACTGTACACTTGGTAAGTAAATATTGTGTTTGATATAATTTTTTTTGTTATTATATATATTTTATTCATATAGCAAGTTCGAGCAATATGTAGTGTCTGTTGTCATTTTTTTTTATCCGCGATTTTTACATTTTTGCTTCCACTAATATTTACTCAAAAAACCTTGCCGAACATGATTCTCTCGTTTAACGCCACTAGTTTCTTAAACAAAAATTATTTGTTTTTTTATTTTCGAGATAATTATTTTTTACCGCAGTTTCACACAAATCCGTCATATTCTAAACACAAATCGGAGATTATAGACAAGTAACATAATTTTACGTAAAAAAAAACGATAGATGGATACGCTCTGTCTTTATTTTACTTCGAAATTTAGTCATTCAGTGAACAAATCAATATCTGATGGTACGAAGTTGAAAAATATATATTTCACAATATTTGTCACATATTCATGAAAGAATTTCACGTCAGCTGATTATGCACGTTACATCCGAGTTGCAACATGTGTGTAAATTTATTATAATATTGACTTTTTGCGCACAACTAAACAAGTGTTTGTATAATATCGTGTTAAGTAAAACTTTCCAATTTTGCGATAGAATTTTATTTGTTGCTATTCCAGTTGTATAACAAAAAAAACATACAACATTCTATAAGAATGACAGATTTTTTATACACATACACTTTGCAATATAATTTTTTAAAGACAAATCTCTGATCGTTTAATATATCCTGTTTACACAGTCAAACAATTATAAATATAAACAATTCTGTAAAACATCTCGCTTCAATTCTCTATTTGATTAATTCGCAGTTTGATCAATCGTGTTTCTTTCTCCAAAAACCGTAAAATGGACGAAATCGATTCAGCGGCATTCGGCTGCGCGATTATAGTAGACTAAACCGACATATCTACTCGTAACACGCGAAATCGACGTGCTTGTACAGCGGTCATACAGTCGAAACGAAACAATTTTACATCACGCAAAACACACATCGCTGACACAAATTGTTTTTATCAGTCATACAAAATACGTAGTGTAATAACTGTGTATAGTGTATTGTCAATGTATCATCACGGGGGTGTACTCTCTGCCAAACGTAATTTAAAAAAATAAATATATTATAACATTTGCACCTCTAAAAAGTGTGTATACCGCTGAGGTAATACGAACTTCAACCGGGTGGATAATTGCGATAATTTTTGCGCAGTGTGATTTACCGTGTTTTAGCTGGAAAGAGAGAGAGAGAGAGAGAGAAAACAGCTTTTCTCTCTTTCTTTCGTGTTGAGTTATAAATATATTCGCGAACATACGCATATTCACGAGTCCCGCAATTTTGCGAGCAATTTAGCGAAACACGAACGAAGCGAGGCCGGGAACGGCGTTTCTCGGTGCATTGCATATGCGCGTACCGCATCGAGTCGGCGGCTACATCGATTCGAAGGAACAACACCCACACGCCGAGGTATACCAGCGAAAAACCATCGGGAATAACTATTGTCGCGTGCGGTTCGATTGCGTGAGATATAGTTTTTCTTCTTTGCGCGCACATGAGTCACGTATCCCATCATCATTTACGTAGATTTCGATTTTTTTGCGACCGCTTTTCACGCGACATGCATACACACAATAGGTATTGACTGTTTCCAAGAAACGAAGAGAAAGTTGGTATTTGACACGACAATTCGTCGTTAGATTGTATATAGAATCAAGGACAATGACACCACGACATTACGTTTTTCCCTGTGACTGTTTCGCGTGCTTTTTTCTCTGTTAACGTCGGCGACAATCAATATTACCTTTTGTGTTTCGCATCGACGCGTGTTCTTGCGCGCGAGGATTTCCGCGATTCGAAGATTGATTTCGTGGAAGAAAAACCGAGCGAATTATTCATGCTTTATTTTATGATAATTAACCCTTGTGTTGATTAACTGTGTAACGTTGTCTGATTCCGCGTCCGCGAGGATTAATTAATTCTAACGTCTGAAAACTTTCGATCAGTCGCTGCGAACTATGAGAATACGGTGCTCAAAAATAATTTTTGAAAACAATTCCTTTGCATGTGTAGTCACACGTGTTCGGTTCAAATTTGAAAGTAAACTTTTGTCACATGATGAGAGATAAATACGTGGACTTTGTACCGTACGTTCCTTACCTCGTCTTTTACATTCTCTCTCTCTCTCTCTCTCTCTCTCTCTCTCTCTCTCTCTCTC